ATTAAATATATATTAATTATACTTTTAATTTTTGTTCTTAGAGCACATATTAGAAAAATCCTTTCTCAAAAACAAAATTGATTGAATTCAATAATAGAATTTTCTATTATGTGCCCTGATGGTACATTTATTACACTTTTTTTAATTAATTTGTGTGAAAAAATAAAAATTAAATTAAATTTTATTAATTGTTATAGTCTGTTATTTTACAGTTTGATATATAAAATATTTTTTTCTTAACCTTTAAATTAAAATATTTTACATGATATTGATATTAAAAATAAAATTTACTTTTAGGGTTTTTTTTTTTTCAAATTATGACATAAAAGCACAAGTTAAAAAATGTATTTATTACATATTTTCACCATTAATTTATATAGAAAATTAGAAAAGTAAACCTTTTTTTCAACATCAATGCCACATGTAACATTCTAATTTGACGGTTGATAAAATTAAAATCAACTTTTAATTTTTTTTAATATAAGTTAATTGTGAAAACACGCAACAAATATACTCTTAACTTGTATTCTTAAAGCACATGTTAAAAATTTTTTATTTTATAAAATTTAATATAAATTAATAATAAAAAATATAATAAATACATCATTAACCATTCACTAATAAGTGCCTACTTATAAGTTAAATTTGAGATTCATGTTTTAAGGCCTTTTTTTCTTTTATTTAATTGGCCTCTTAGTATCATATAGTCACATTGAATCTCAGTAATTTAAAATTGAGTCGTATAGGATTCAATAAGGGAGAAACTCTCCTAATGTTTATTTCTCCATTTATAAGATTTAAACTCAAAAGCTTATTCAAACAAGACTAAATTTTTTCCATTCACACTGACAAGTTATTGGTTGTGTTTGAGGGCTATTAGTAAGAAAATAATAATTTTTTTAATGAATCAAGCCAAATATGTTTGGTGTGCATCCCTCAAAATATAAATACAAGCCTAAAAACACTCCAAACACTTCAATAGCCTAAACCAAACAATAATTTCCTAAACAAAGAAAACCATATTTTTTAGATGGTAGATAGCTAATAATTTGTTTTTGGTATGGTTTGTACTAAATAATACCCTGGCCTTAGTAACTTATATTTTGAATGTTTATGAACATTACTTCTTACTTTACTATATTATAAAAATTACTAAAATTATCGATAAATCTTAAATAAAAACCTAATATGTTTTGTAAAATTTTCAATAAATTCTTTTAAAATTTTTAATAAATACCTTTAAAATATTCATTAAATTTCAACTAAATACTTAATGAATATCTATTACAAAAATTTAAGAGTTTGAAGCCCAATCAACTCTAATTATATCCAAATTCTTATTAAATTAACTTTGAAATATTAAAATTCTATACCAAACGAAATTCCTATCATCATTTTTAGTTAATTACAAAACCTTGGCAAGCCACTTAATTATAAGGAGTGGCCTAAAAGAGCAAAAGCCACTTATTGGGCTTGGCTAAAAATAAAATGCCACTTATATGAAACTCTTTCTAGTAACTGGCCCTACGACCGAGGCAGGAGAAGCCTTTTCTAACTTCAATTTCAAACCCTGAATGTTGATACAAAAATTTTATTGATCATTATGGGGCTCAAAAAATAGATGCTTTGAGGATTATCTAATGTTCTAATTATTATTATATATTTATCAAATTTCTATTAAATAGAATAAATATGTCCAATAAATATCTTCAAATTCAATTTCATAACAAGTAATGATAGATAGGAATATATGTTTGGTATATATATTCCTGGCATTAGCCAGCTTGTTAGGTGCATTCCCCCCTCCCCTGGGCGGGTTTCAAACTCGTCCCGTGTCAAAATGTTCAAAAAAAAAAAAAAAAGATAGGAATAGATATTACACTTGATATTATAAGATCAGAAACAAGTTGTGACTTAAGTCTCTAAAAAATACTTTCAAATCATAAACGAATGTCATTTGAACTTGTATTATATTCAAAGTTATACTTAGCAAATTAATTCTTATTTATTCCATCATTCTAGAACTAGGAGAGTAATGATTAGTTTGTAAATAATTCTAGATAAATGTATTTTTAAATAATTATTACTAAAATTTTAAGAATTACGAATAGTTACAATTTGTAAAACATATAACCAATATGTATCAATTTGATAATGACTATATCAACTTAAAAAATCAATTTAAAAAGTACAAAATGGGATCTAAATTAAACACCTTACCTTAGTATAAGCAAAAAGTAAGAGCATGTACGAGAAATTTAAAAATAAAGAAAGGGTCTTTACGAGAAACTATAAAATATTTAGACATTCACTTTCTTAAAAGTATAAATTATTAAAAAATTATAAAAATGGTAAAGTAAAAGTCCTTTCAAATTTTCAATATATTCATTAAGATAAAAAAAAAACAATTTTAATATACACATAGCAAGGGGGAGAGAGAGAGAGATTGATATAAAAATGGTATATAATGATAAATAGAGATCCAACTAGTGACTGTAACTATAAAAGAATAATATTGAAGGAATAAGGATACTAAGAGAGATTAATAGCAAAAAAATTATATAGAGTTAGGATCTTTTTATACTCAAATCTTATATATTGCATTTATACAAAATCTTAAGCATTCATTTTCTACTTTTAATGATTAAGATTTATTCACCTTTTACCATATTTATTATGACTTTTTAGTTGAAATCTCAACCATTAAATTGGGAATGGTAGAAGATTAGACTTGAGGTATGAAGTTGGCTTTTATCTAAATTAGGTTTTTTTGAATAAAAGAGGGTTCAGTAGTAGGGAAAAGGTATGGAGAAAGGAATGGAAAATTCAGAAAAATATGTAGAAAATTTTCATGGCTTCACTTCTGCCTCTTAGTAGATTTTTTAAACTAATATAGTAATTGATGTTCTAAGATTTGAATGAGATTGTACTCCTATATTAATATCTATAGTATAAAGGAAAATTAGAAATTACAATAATCTGATGTACTAAACATGGTAAAATTTTCTTTTTTGTTCTTTTCCTTATCTTAATTTTCATATCCAATTTTCATTTTGAAGCTTATGCGATGATCAATAGACAGTTCTGTATTTATTATTGTAACTAGTCTTTCAAACAAAATTCATGACTCTACCTTTGCCTCTTAAAGTTCTTAAGCAAATATAAAGTAGAGTGCTTAGATTTGGTTGAGATTGTAATCCTTTATGAATATCTACAGTATAAAGGAAAATAAGGAATTATAATAATATGATGTACTAGATGTGGTAATTTTTTTAATTATACCAACTTGGTAATATTGGATTACATGACTAGAAAGCAATGATATCTTGATTATGGTGTGATTTGTTTGCTAAAAATTTGTAATCCATTACAATCTTAATTTAAGAATTAGTTTAAATTACCATGTATAAATATTTAGGACAACCCAAGCATAAGAATATATAAGATTATTTCATAATCATTTTCCATTCATAGGCCTTTTCCTACCTCATCTTTCCTTTTGTATGTACTTTCTCAGGTTGGTATTCATACTAAAATTTTTGTGAACTACTTATTGGCGGTTGACCTTACCTCCTATTAGTGGTGAGGTGGTTATTTGATCCTTCTATGTCCCTCAATGAATGATGGAGAATACTTTAAAATAAGATATTTAAGTTTATCTTATTGGTGAGTATTATGATACTTATGTTATCCTTTGTCTAATCGCAGTGAATGCTTTGATGAAGTTTAGAAGATGACAAGGTTTGGTTATCTTACAGAAGAACTTATCATTGATATCTTTTCATGGTTGTCGGCAGATTCTCTGATGCAATTCAAATGCCTTAGCAAATCATTGTATTCGCTCATTGAAAACCCTCAGTTCATTGTCAAGCAGCTTCACAACCATGTCCATTCCTCCTCTAAAAACAACCTTTGTGTTCTCTTCAACGTTGGATTGGTTTTGAAATTGATGATGAAAAGGGTGAAAACATGTTATCATTACTTATATACAATGATATGATCCAAGCAACTTCCAAAGGAGATGGTTTTCCTTTTCTTTTGAAGACTGCAAGTTTACCCTTCTACAAGGACTATCCATATTGTGAAATTTTGACTAGTTGTGATGGCATCAATTTATTCCATGACAACTATAATAATGGTGAAATGGTTGCCATAGCTAAGCCAGGATTAAAAGAATTTAGAATTCTTCCCAAGTCTTGCATTAGCCCTCCTCTTTCCTTGCCAGTTGATTTTGATGACCCATTGTTTCATGTAGACGCTATTGGACTTGGCTATGATTCAAAAGCTAATGATTATAAGATTGTTAGTGTGGAGTATATGGAATGTTCCTTCATCTCCTCATTTAAGAGTCGAGGTATACACCTTGAGCATAGATTCTTGGAAGGAGATTAACAATCTTGATATGGAAGTGGAGATTGATAACAATGTCATGAGTGTTGGTATTTCCACCAGCGTTATTTTGAAAAGTATTGGAATGGAGCCTACTATTGGTTTGCATTTCGATCTGATAAGGAAAGTCCTCCAAAATACAAGAAATTTATTGCTTTGTTTGACATGACTTATGAGGTCTTCCAATGTATACTTATGCTAGAATCTTGCCAAGATCAAGATAATGCATCTTTTGCATATGATGAAAGCCTTTTGGAGTTTAATGGATCTCTTGTTCTCTTT